TCCTGCTCACATTCTAGGATAGAGAGGTAGGGAAAGGAGATAGATTGTGAGCAAGCATATAAGTATATTGATAAGCTCTGTGAAGAAATTATCACACAATAAAGGAATATGGAATTTTGTTTGCTTGCTTTGTTGTGTTTCAGAAGGGGTGTGGGGTAGGTTCTTGCTGATGTGCCTTCTCTAGGCCCTTCACAATAACCGTGAGGTGGTAAGGTGGCAAGCAGCCCTGACGGTTCTGAGTGTGTATGTCTTTGTTTTGTGATGTATTATACTTTGTCGAGCAAGAAACCATGGCACTGCTTAAAGGACACCCTGGCCAGGGCACTAAGGACCCAGCTGTCCTGACCGCAGGTACGCAGTCTTCCTTCTGAGATCTTGAGAGACCAACTTACTAGAGTCTAGGCCCTCTCCATTGCCACTGGGACTGAAAAGGACATCATCAGAGGTTCTGTCTCCCTTCTTGGGTGTGGAGCCTTGAGATTGCCTTTGCTTTGTATATGTTTCTGCCTCTGGTTTATAAATGAGACTTATTATAAGACTTGTGAGGCAGATGATAAATTCCCATGGACTGCAATACTGGGGCCTTGCTGAACCATTCATCTAGGACATGCTCTCATCCCCGGGGAGTAGAAAATATCATTCTTTATACCTTGTGCCCCTTGCTAATTTTCTTCTGACCAAGGTGATCTGGAAGCATGGATTCTTTCCTAAAGATTAACATCTTAAGATTGCCCCTCCCTGTTGTGGCCCTAGATGTCCACTCTTCTCGCCACAGTAGCCACACAGCATAACTGATAACTGGCCCAGGAGTGGTCTTTCCCCTGTGGGAGGGAGGGTGAGGGCGCTTGGCTTCCTGCCTGCAGACTTGGGTCACACCAAGTGAGTCTGCCTGACGCATGTGCAGAGTTCGGCTTGCTCCCAGAAGTCCCCTGGCTGTTTCCTTCCAGCCAAAATTTGGGTCAGAGGCAATTCTATGTGGAATGCCCAGATTCCTCATCACCTTTATTTACTAAGTCAGAGAGAGGGATAAAGCATCGGCCATTTCAGAAAACAGAGAGTGGTTTTTACCTTGATTTTTCTTTTTCTTTTTTTTTTTTTTGGTCTATAGGTTGGTGCTGGCGCATTATAATTAAGGGTCTACTCCCTGCGGCATTTTGTCAGCTTTTCATTATGGACATGTATTCCTTTGGATTAATTCATTTCATTTTGATGTGTTCCAGTTTTAAACCAGCTACCCCCTAAGAGAACTGCCTTATTTTTTCTAGCCTTCGGCATTCCTTACCAAAAAAAAAAAAAGGAAGTCTGGCCATTTTGGAAAATACTTGTAGGACAGTTGGAGAGCTGACCAGAGTTAACAGATGAATGGGATGAAGCAGCACACTGGAAGGCTGGGTGAACCCCAGGCCTCCTATCCCATCTCTGCTCAGACATTAGCTCTTCTCTGAGCTCATCTTTTCCCTGGTACTGCTCTGCCTCTCTTGCCCTTCCTAGCCCCTACCGATGAAATGCTCCTCTTTATTAGCACATCCATTATAACATGCACCACTTTTCATGTGGCCTTATGATGGCCTCTGTGTCTGTCTCCCACAAACCTTACTACACCGGTGTTGGAGAGCAGAGACTCTGTTTTATGCTCCTGGCACACAGCTTAGTGCCTGGCTCCTACTCGAGACTGATTACGTTGGATTGCTTTAAAGAACCAACTTGTCTTTCTCCCACTCTGGCGCCTGTCGTTTCCCTCCGGTGGACAGCAGTGGCAAAGAGACCTCAGAAGGAGCTGGCCGTGTAGCGCTGCCCTTTCCATCGGTTTTGGCTTCTGGCTTCCTACTCAGCCAAGTAGCTGGGTTATCCTTTGACTATCCCATTGAGCATAAAGATCTGGATGATTGAGTAGATTTAGAGCCTTTAGAAGATGATCCTCAAGTTCAGAGTTTTTCCAGGGACAGGAACTACCAACTAGAATGGAGTTTTGGAGGATTCGGTTGGCTGTGTAATATGAAAGCAAGGATCTTTGCGGTCGAGAAAAGTTGTCCTATTTGTCAAGAACGTGGATCCAAGCACCTTGGCCTTTCATCTTCCCGGAGGCAGTAGACAAGGGCTTTGAACAAAGTGACTCCCAATGATCAAGTGGGGCTGACCAGCCAGTGTTGCAGGCAGTGCAGTCTGGGAGGGGACACCTGGAATGACTGTCCAGGCAGTTAGGCCACATTCCAGTGGGAGACTGCTCTATTCTCTAAGTCCACGTGGCCCGCACTGAAGCAACCCCTTTTTAATTCCTGACAAATGGTCTCAGGGCCGAGTACCTGCCAGTGAATTCTGACGCTCACTGAATATTCTGTCCATCTGTCTTCTTACCTTGAGAAGAAAGCTTGTAGGCGAAAGCAGGATTAACCTATAGAACGAACACAGATGACAGGAGCCCAGGCCCTGCTGCAGACTACTAGAAGGGACGGGCAGGTTAGGGTCTAGGGCTGGCACGCAAACCCCTCAGCAAGCTGCATGCTTGGTTAAGACACTGCTTACTGGCTCCCTGGGTTCTTTGTCTCAGGGACTTACCATATAACACCGCAGAACTTTGCCGTTTACTAATTACTGTTTTCTTATTTTAGCTTCACAACATTCCTGTGATTATTTTCCCCACTTTACAGAGAAGAAAGCTGAGGTGCAAGATCAAGTGTATAATGCAGTCACTGGGCAAACAAGTCCCACCCTTAAGATTCCTACTTCTCTCAGGCCAATAGCACTTGCTCCCGGCTTCCCATCGTGGCCTCCCGTGGTCACACACAAAGCTTCCGTCCTGCTGTAGTAAACAGTCTCTCTCCTTTGAGGCTAACTTTCGGGGCTAATTGCAGGGTCTGGCAAGTAGGGCCAGGAATATTGGTTAAGGCTGACACCAGGTGCTGAGACCAAATCAGGGGGCCTCAAACCCTGCACAGATGGTGAGAAAAGAAAGAGGTGGCTTCGGAAATACAGATTTTGTATTTATGGGAGAAGCAGGAATGTGATGAGTCAGTCCTAGAATTGAAGGCTTTTCTTCTTCCTAAACAGCTAGGCACAAAGCCCAAGGCCAAGGAATGCTAGTTGTGCACCGAGAGGAGCCTTTCTCACAGGTGAGGCTGAAGTGGCCAGGTAAGGGCTGCTGCTGGTCATGGCCCCCTTAAACCTTGGGGTAAAGCAGTGATTGGTGAGTTGGCTTCTTTAGTACCTCTCAGGATGGGTAGGGTTCTTAGAGGAGGGCTTGGAGTTAGAAAGAGGGGATGACATGAAATGAGAATTGAATCTAGTTTATTTGGGTTCTTGGCCTAGTTATTTCTCGTAAAAAGAGTCAGCTTTGTCTTTATCCCAATTCCTGTGCCTCGTCTTTCTGTTTCCACCTAGTCCAAGGAAGCATCGTGCCTTCAAATTCCAGACCCACAGAAAATGAGTGTCTTGTGGGAGTAGTCCGTTAGTGTTCTTCCTAGACACTTTCCTCCTTTGAGGGTTAACTTGAGTCCTGGGGAACGAAAAGGAGGCAGACACTCAGAAGACTTAGAAGTGCAGATAACATCTAGAAAATGGGCCAACCGTCTCTGGTCAAAGAACATGAAGAGTAGCCCGTCACCCACTAGGTTACGTTAACCCTCCCAGGATGGCTCCGCAGAACCCAGAGTACTGACAGTGCTGTGTGCCGACATGGATCTCTGATTCCCCTTTTGTCTTTTTGGCTCCACTCCTTCCCTATGCGTCTCGAATTCCCAGTAGAAAGGAGAAGGCTGCCCAACCCACCTATGGTCATCTCAGCCTCTGTCGGCAGTGACTGGTGGCAAGTCCTGGGCTCACCATTTTAGAGAACAGCAAAGCGCCTTGGGATCCTCTTCACTGTAGCCAACTCTGCTCCTCTCCCATATTCGCTCCAGACCAATCAGAAGGGCCAGATATGCTCTTACTCCAGCAGTGGACCGTGTGCTAGGAAATCACTTATACCAGTGAAGTCTATAGCCATAGGAATCTACATGAAGTGCCCAGGGAACGAGCTATTAGACTAGATCTGTGGACCAAGAAAAACTGAACCTAGGTGCTCACAAGGCCTCATTAAGCCCTTAAGGATTTTTCGGTGTGGATAGGATCACCAAGTAGAGCATGAACATCCATCATCCCCAGTTATGAGCTCATTATACCTGTGCCTTTGGCCACCTGAGTTCTAAACAGTGACTCTGCCTTGACTGTGCTACCTTATTTTAGAATTAGATGTAGGAGGGGTGTGTGTGTGTGTGTGTGTGTGTGTGTGTGTGTGTTCCAAGTTTAAAATACCTGCCATAGTCCTTTCTTCAAGTGAAGGGCTGCTATCACTAACCTGAAGAAACAATTTTGCACTATAAACACAGGGAGGACTGACCCTTTGAATGGCTGTTTTCACCAGAACAACATACTGAGGGGTTGGGTTGGGGCTGGGGGGCAGAGAAGCACTTCATGTCTTGCATTGTCTTTCACTGTGCTGGTGATTTGTGTGTCCATGGTAAAGCGTCTGTTCATTCCTGAATCAGGCCCTAGTGCTGAATTTGATGAATGTTCAAATAAGGAGTCACTCATTGACCTCACCTCACCCACCTCCCAGGAGCTTGATTCAATACTGACGCTTTTGGGTCCTTTCCCAGAACTTGGTGACTTGAGTTGGTTTGCTTTCACAACTCTAATGGGAAGCCCAGAAGAGAGAACTGCCTGCTTGCACAGGCCTGGATTGGGAGGGAGGTCAGGACTGAGTCCTGGAGCCTTAGAAGGTCATATTCTCACTCCTGTTTGACAGTTTGCTTCCCATAAAATTACCCTTTTGCTTTCTGACTTGAGTGCACTGTTTTTCCTTTTCCACTAGCTGCAGAATAAGAGTCAATCCGGGATCCAGGGGCGTGTGCCAGGTTCGGAGACAACACATGGGGCCACTCCAGGTAGCACTGTGTGCTCAACCCCAAGGCCACAGTCAGCAGTAATTTCTAGAAACACTGAAAGCAGCAGGACAGGTTATTGTCTTCCGAGACAATCACTCTAAAGCATCCTGACCAGAAATAGGAGAAGGAATTCCAGGAGACCCATTCCTCACCTTCAGGGAGAAAATGAAGCGATTATTGCAAGAGTCAGAAGAGGAAATCATGGTCACCCTAGCACCCTCCCCCAGGCTTTCCCCAGATAAGGCTAAGGAAGAGCCCATGTATGGAATTAAGAACAAGTCCTTAGGCCCTGCTGGATCCTTACCAGAGGACAGTGCTCTGTGCACTAGCTGTGCCTCGGTACCCTCAGCCATCGAGAGGAATAGAAATGGGGACTTGGCCCAGCACTGCAGCTTTGGACAGCAGACCAACAGCCAACTTGACTCCACTCCTTGTACTTCAGAGTCTGCTTCTCGGGACCTCTCACCGACCAGCATGACCATGAGCTGTCCAGAACCCTCAGAGAGGAGCCAAACCAACTCCCCTTTGTCCACAGAACCTGGCCAAAGCCACAGCCATGAACAGCGAGAGCCTTTGGGAGACGTGGTAGAATATATCATCAGGGAGCTGCAGGGCATCAGCCGTCTCCAGATGGAGATTGCTGAGCTCCGGCAGCACTTGAGCCAAGTTTGGGGTTCTGTGGATGAGGTCTTTAGCTGTGTAGACTCCGTCCTGAGTGAAATAGAAGGCTTGCAGGGGGGCAGCAGCTCGGTGGTCAAGGTGTGCGCTGGGGAAAAGACCCAGGAACCCCGTGTGGAGGGCCATCGTGAGGAAGCCATCCTCTATCTGTATGGACTTCCTGAGCAAGATGGGGAAAACACTGCGGAGCTGGTGGAGCACTTCCTGGCGAAGCACCTCTGCGTCAATGGTATCCAGTGTAACAGGTACATCAAAGAGGCCCACAGGGCGGGCAGAGCCCCTGCCCCCAGACCTACAGTGGTGAAGCTTGCCCAGCTCGAGCACAGAGACTTCATCCTGCAAAGATCCATCCTTTTGCAGAGTGTAGGGGTTCGGATTGCCACCAGAGACGAACCAAGCTGGCCACAAGACGGTGAGAAGGCCCTGAAAGAGTCCAGATCACTTTTGCAAGCACAGCTTCAGGATCATCACTGGGATTCTTTAAACCAGGATGAACAAATTTTTCAGATAGAAACAGGAGCTACAGGACCCGTAACAGGAGCCTATCAGAGAAGGGCTCAGAATCAACAGAGAGAACCCCAGGCCCTAGAAAAGCAAGGCCTTTGCCTCCTGCCTAAGAACAACCTAGCAAAGCAAAGCCATATGTTGAAGCTAGGGGGAGACGTAGAAGAAGCTTCAGGAACACCCCAAGTTCGTGGCCGCTGTGGCGCACAGACAGGGAGAGAGGCTTCTCGGACTACCCTCCACCAGCTGGAAGCCTCTTCCCCAGAGGGGGCTTGTGGGAAGGTTCAGGTTCTCAAACTGTGCAGCCAAGGACTTGAAGAATGTGACGTAGCAAAAAGAGGAAATGACCGCATCAGTACCAGTGAAGCCAGCAGCTGCCCGTCACTCTCCGGATCGCTGAAGACAGAGAGCGTGGACACAGAGGGCAAGCTCCTAGGCCTGGAAGCTGGGCTTGATGTTCTAAGCTCAAAGCAGCTAGAAGACCTTTTGTCAGAGAAGTCCAGCACCTTTGCCACTCTGAGCTGTGACAGCATGATGGAGGAAATTCTGATTGGGCCGGATACTTTCAGTGACATGGTTCACATTGACCTCAATGAAGAGGAGGGGCATGCCGCCCAGGTCCTCAAGGATGTCTTTGACCGGTCCTCTTGTGCTCTGGGTGGCTCACAGGAGGATGAGGATATTGAAATCAAGTTTCACACAAGCAAACTGGGCAAAGCGATCCACCAGTTCCGTTCTGCTCTGCAGGGGGTCTTTCAGAAACTGGAGAATAGTGGGTCCATAAGTCCCGAAGACCTGGACAGCAACGAGAGTGGTTCCCAGTCGGAGAACAGCGATCGACTGCTGGGCACTGTGAGTTCAGGGGGAGCCCAGGAGTGCTCCGCAGAGAGCCCTGGAAGCCAGGGGAGTGGAAGCTTGCTCAGCATGCCCGCTGGTGGAGTGGGCCTCGCCACCCAAAGAGATCCCTTCCCTCAGGATCCCAGCAGCCTCTCTTCTGCTTCTCACAACTTGCCGCCGGCATATTCATTGCCAGGATTCACTCTGGCACCCTGTCTGGGCAACGAGGCTTGTGCCAGGCCTGACTACCCCAGGCAGGGCAAACTAAGCCTAGAGCAAGTGTGTACAGAGACCATCTACCTCAACAAGTGCATCAACAATTTCAAAAATGTTCTCAGAGAAAAAAGACTGAGGCAGAAAAAACTTTTGCATGAGCTAGTCCAGAAGGCAAACCATCTCTCAGTAGAAGCCGTGCACTCAGGTACTATGAGTTTCTGTTTCTTGGGGTCCCAGTGGCGGGGTAGCCTGAGTCCCAGCATGGGGGTGAGGCTCACAAGGTGACAGGGAAGGTCCACAGCTTGAAATCATATCAGTTATTTGGTATGGATTTTAGGCCATTCCTGTGGGGATTAGAATTAAAGTGGTTTGACAGGAGAGAAGTTCCTGTCCTTAGGGTACTTCCAATCCAATGGGGGTGGGGTGGGGAGAATGTGCTACAGAAAGTACCTTTGCTGAAGAATTAACATCTTAGCAGGAGTCGGTTAGAGCTGCCAAACATCTAGGATATTTCAAGGGTTTAATGTAAGCTGGAATGGGCAAGGAGACACGTTTCCTCAAGGGCATTAGTGGGGTTGAGAAAGAAGTCTATGTTTTTATTGTTTTATTAGGGGCTCATACAACTCTTATCACAATCCATACATACATCAATTGTGTAAAGCACATTTGTACATTCATTGCCCTCAT